GGGGGGAAGGGGGGGCAGGGGATTCAAAACAAGTTTTTCAAAATTTTGAAGCAAACGGCACCTAAATGTATTCAGATATTTCCGGGCCAAGGACCACATGAAGCCTTTGCCGTGGCAAAGTTTCAAAAGAAGTGAAGCTAAGCCCAAACTGAGAGGAGTATAATTCTGCCAGTCAATATTGCACGTAGAAGAATACGAAAAGATAAACAAAAAAGACTAGATTTATTTACCAAAAAAGACAATTCCAAACCTAAACTACACAGTGCACAAACTAACCATACTCTTGCTTCTGTAATCATAGAGTAAACTGTTAATTAAATTTCATCTATGCTAAGGGCAAGAGTTAAGTGATGCACTGCCAAAGCATTGACAAAAATCACTAGCAGGAAAGCATTTAGAAAACTTCAAGATCTAACAACTCCATGATATGATACACATCAAGACGCAAAGAGGCACAACCTGAGCGAGAATATCATTCATAGCATCACTGGCATTGGCATCATCTTGTCCCAAAGCACACAAGAGCCTAAGCAATCTTATATGGAGGAAAGGATCTGTAATGCCAGAAACGTCATACTCAGGCGCATATGGACTGTTTGTGAGATCCTTCAGAATTTTGACTAAACCATCTGTGCATTTCTAGAACCACACATGGAAAAAAGAAAAATTAAAAACAATATGAATGCCACATCAAATAGAAGGTAAAGTTTTTGATTCTTGACTTTATCAAATTTCAAATATCTACTCCAGCATGTGTAGGTGCAGCTTACACTAATCCTGTTTTAGTTAAAAGGAGGCTGGAAGAAGTACAATAGGAATGAAGCTCTTTGATTACATCCTTTAAATGAACGGTCGACTTACCTTTCTGAAATATTCAAGAGCCTCCGTACTAATTTTACATAGATCTATACAAAGCTGGACGCCTGTAATGAGAACTCCATGGTGTTTCTCACTTAACAAGGCTGCTGCAGGGTTTATAAAATTTTCAGCGAGATCGGGGACCTTCCTTATAATTCTTATAGAGCAAAGCGCTGCCTACAGTAGAGCAAAGTAGAGTGAATACACTGATAAAAAGCAACCATTTGCGAGAGAGCACAAAAGAAACATCAAATTTCTACTGAGTCAAATACTCATGTCATGAGAAAAATCAAAAGACTTTAAAGAGGCATTTGGGCAATATTTGGTTGGTTGAAGTAGAAAAGAAAGACTGAAAGAGTATCGGAAGCTAAAGTTGAAAAAGGGTATTTGGAAGTGCGTTTGGTGTAAACAACAAATGCATGATTAAGTGAATACCCATAGAGAAAATGACAGAGCCAACAACAACAATGAGGGTCCAAGTATAGAGTTCACATGAAAACCTTAAATAAGTTGATTGTGGAAAGAAATACATAAATGCACAATGATATAAGGAGAAGAAATGCTAATAAGCAGCTCCTTTTCTTAAGAGACTTACCTTCTTTCGGATATTAGGATCTCTAAACTTTAACAACCTTTCAACTTCTGGTGCAAGGTCACGAGCCATTTCTGCAGAACCAATATTCCCCAGGGCACAAAGAGCAAGTCCAACAATATATTGGTTAGTGTGGTTAAGATCTCTATTCAAAAGTTAAGGTATCTGAATGTAACTGAGAATTTGGAATAAACTGAGCGACAATAGCTATTACCTTTAAAAGTTGTACAAATCAAAGAGCAATAGCCTAATCAACTGAAAGTGCTTTGGGGAAAAAAGAAAAAGAAAAGGTAAAAGAAAAAGACCTTCACCAGTATCTCTTTCTTAATTATGCCCTTTAATCTGGTTCGAGTGCACATATAAAGAGACATCTTTTGAAGAGGAAATAGTGAAACACAAGAAAAGGATACTGCTTTATAGAATTGGTAACCAACATTAGAACTTCTTGTCTTTCGTCAAGCAACAACATTAGGCCAAGATATCCTATTCTTTTCTCTGGAAATCCTGGAGAAGCAATCAGCTTCAAGCATTCCATTTGACCAAAGTGTGTGGGGTAACCCAGCATGTGAATGAACATTAGCTTCGCAATATTACGATGTCTATAATCTTGATCATTTTCACTGATTGCAGCTCTAATAGCAGCACACTCTTTTCTTACTACACCACGCTCCTCTGCTGCAGTTTTGCAAGCACGGATAGCCCGAATCATGTCCCTGCATTAGACCAATAAGCGCATATAATCTTCTATTGCAGGCTTTTATCAGGAATCTTCTATTATTAAGCTCTTATTATCTCATGACATCATAAGTTGACATAATTAAAGTCTGACAGGGAAACTTGTTAACCACACCACATTTCTTTCTGTGGTAGTGAGTTTAAAAGGGATTCAAATGGGATTGTCAGAAACGAAAAATATCAAACTTCTCAAAGCAGACAAATAGAGTAATTGAGGCAGTTCACAACCTGTGAATGCTCCCTCTGGAAGAGCTTAAGATGTTTTATATGGTTGAACCACCTCGCCCTTTAAAATTTTTTATCTTATGCAACAGAAAAAAAAAAGAAAAAAAAATATTCTGGTACAGATAATTTGCAAAGCACCAATGCTGCTTCAGGGGTATAAAAGTGTCACAAGTGCCACTCTTTAACTGAAACTATACATGAACCTTAGCTTTAGAAGTAAATGCATAAACAATAAATTATGTATTAAGCCATTTGGGGTTGTGGAAGACTGTAGCACTAGCAGACATTGTTACGGCTTGGAGATGAAGGAGAGTCAAAGGTGGCGGCCAGAAGAAGCTGCACTACTTCGTGCCTACATGAAGCAATATTAACCCAAAGAACGGAATATCATTTCTAAATATGAGAAAAACTCCTGACAGGGAGCCAAAATCTTGCCTTGAACACTGGAAAAACTACTTGAAACCTGGGATCAAGAAGGGATCTTTAAATCCCGAAGAACAAAATCTTGTCATCTGCCTTCAAGCAAAGCAGGACAACAAGTAAGAAAATTTCCACTGAAGTCCCTTGTCATACTGCTAAAAATTAGGCAAGTGATTGAAGTTCTCAAAGAAAAACTGATTAAACAGCTTCAGAAATCCCCGCAACGTCAAGACTCAAGAATACACTGACCCGCCTTCTGTTCCTGCTGTCTTCGGTAGTGGGTCACTGCAAGGAGGAATCTGAGGGAAGTACAATCACATATTGGAGACTTTTGCAGAGAAATACGTGCAGCCAGAGATCTTTGCTTTTCAAATTTCAACCCCCCTTGCTTTTGCCATCCATATATCATGCCAAATCTTGAACTGCCACCAGCTCTATCTTCAAGTCCAGTGGCTGTGAATGAACCGGTGAATTCCACCACTACTTCACCACCTTCATCTGTTCTCCACTGTGGATATCATCTTTAACTTCATCATCTTCTGATTTATCCCCTTCTGTTACTCTCGCCCTTGCACACTTTGAATCGGTGTTACATTTGGATGAGGTGGTTCACTCGGATTTGGGTTTGACAAGATTGATTCTATTCGATTCAGCAACTGGGTACCTTAATCCAGTATTGCAAAGAGCTGTAAGAAGGAAAACAAAACTGGGTACAGCATAAGAAGGAGGCAAAGCATGGAGGCTGAACCGGCTGGAGCAACAACTAGAGTCAGAGAAGGGCAGAAAAAGGAGGGAAATGAAGGAAATAGAAGAAACGATGAGGTGTTTACGTGAAGGAAATGGCTTTTCTTCAAAGGATGGAGAGGGAACACAGAGATCAACTCAATGCCTTACAGAGAGATGCATCTGCTAAAGAGGCAAAGTTAATGGAGGCTTGGAGTAGTAAGCAATTGAAGTAGTTAATGGAGGCTTGGAGTAGTAAGCAATTGAAGTCAATGGCTTTTCTTGCTATAATTTCTGTAGTGAAAGTAGACGAGCCAGCCCTGGGGATGAGTTAGGGGTGTTCGTCGGTCGGTACGGTACGGTATTTAGACATTTCGGTTCGGTATTCGGTTTCTTAAAATGCTATACCAATACCGTACCTAATTAAATTCGGTATGGTTCGATTTTTCTCCTTTCGGTTTCAGTTTATTCGGTTCGGTAACTTCGGTTTATTCGGTTTGAATACTAACTAGTGCATCGAGTCATAGACGGTAATATTCTTAATTAAAGTACTCAAAAGTACAAAACTAAAAATGTTTGTTGATAAAAGTTTTGTCCAAAATCAACAAATATCAACCTAGAGAGAGAAAATTGCACATAAAGGAATAAATTTGATCATTAGAAATGTCTTGTTACTTGCTTAGAGTTAACTGATGAACTTAGAGAATAAAGGAAAGTAAAATTTTAGATTTTTTATATTTATGTTATAATTAATAATATGTGTTTTTGTGTAATATAATATATATTTCGGTATGATATCGGTATTTCGGTATTTCATTTTAAAATACCAAATATCATACCTAATACCATTTTTTTTTAAAACTTAAACCAAATACCATACCGAATATCAAAATATCGAATGCCAAATACCAAAATATTTTGTTTCAGTACAGTAATTCGGTATTTACCAAATTATGCACAGCCCTAGATGAGTGCATTTAAAGATGATGCACTAGAAAAAAAACTGATATTGTTCAATCACATGGAAAAGAACAGGTTGAGGAGATGATACACATTCTGGATGCATTATGTGAGTACATTAGAGATGAACCAAAATTTGAGCCTCTAGATAGGTTGAGTGGTGCCCCACCCAAGCCTTCCGTTGAGGAGGCTCCGAAATTGGATCTTAAACCCTTACCCTCTCATCTCATTATGCATATTTGGGAAGTGAAGAGTGATACTCAAGTCATTCCCAAAAGAGATAGTATCAAGTATCTTGGGTCTATAATCCAAGGCGACAGGGACATTGATGAGGATGTTACTCACCGCATTAAAGTGGGGTGGATGAGATGGAGGCTAGGTTCGGGGGTGTTATGCGATAAGAATGCGCCGCCTAGACTTAAAAGGCAAATTCTACAGGATGGTGGTTAGATCTAAGGGTGTATTATATAAATTTATAACCGTACCAATAATTAGAGTTGGTTTTTTATTTTATTAAAANATATATATATATATATATAAGTTTAAAAATAATAAAGCATTAAATTTTTCTTTTGGCCTTTAGAATTATGAAAACGGTTACAAGCCAACAAGTAATTAAACTCAAAATCCTAATTCTCATACCTATTATGCTGCTCCTACTGAAACTAAATTATTTTTAGCATATTCACTAGAAAGACACAAAGTACTCTAACGATTATGAGTAGCAAACTATAATGTATTGAATATGTTTCCTTTCGTATGATTTAGATTTATCATTTTGAATATTTAATCTTCTATAGACTTTATTCTTCAGTCCCAACTTGGTTAATATCTTTTCACTCGTGTGATTTATATTTTCTTTGTCTCTACTTAGTTTCTTTTAAGTTGTTGTAGAATAGTTAATAAATCTATACTCTGGCCATCTTTCATATTTTCTTAATTCATCACTCTTTAAACAGGATAGTTTTGCAAAGTCCAATAAATGTATATATGTTACTGCATTTTACTTCTACTAGACCAACTATGTTGTATAGAGCTGAGTGTTGGCCCGTCAAGAAGTCTCATGTCCAGAAGATGAAAGTAGTTGAAATGAGAATGTTGAGATGGATGAGCGGACATACCAGGAAAGACGAGATTAGGAATGAAGTTATTAGGGATAAGGTAGGAGTGGCCTCTGTGGAAGACAAGCTATGGGAATCGAGGTTGCGATGGTTTGGACATGTGAAAAAGAGAGACATAGATGTCCCTTTCAGGAGGTGAGAGAGGTTGACTATGGCGGGCTTGAGGAAGGGCAGGGGTAGGCCAAAGAAGTATTGGGGAAAGATGATTAGGCAGGACATGTTATTGCTTCACCTAATCGGGGACATGACTCGCAAGTCACAATAGGAAGGTGTGGAGGTCGAGGATTAAGGTGATAGGTTGACAGGTAGTTGTGAGTTTCTCCTAGGCTTACCAGTAGTACTAGTACTATTCTTGTATTCTTTTATTCTTAGTTCTTTATTACTTGTTATATCACTCGCTTCCATTACCTTATTACATTACTGCTGATATTGCTTGTTGCTTTATTTTTGTTCCTTAAGCCGAGGGTATATCGGAAACAACCTTTCAGCCTTTATAGGGTAGGGGTAAGGCTGCGTACACTCTATCCTCCCCAGATCCCACATATGAGATTAAGCTAGGTTTGTTGTTGTTGTTGTTGTCTAACTTGCAGGAAGAGATGTTGTTGAGGGTGCTAAGGGAGCACAAACACCCCATTGGATGGACAATGTTTGACATAAAGGGTATTAGCCCCGCATGCACAAAATATTCATGGAAGAAGGACATAAGCCTAGCGTGGAACATCAGCGCCGCCTAAGTTCGATCATGAAACAGGTGGTAAGAAAATATGTGATTAGTGGCTCGACGCAGGTGTTGTATTTCTTATCTCCAACATAAGTGGGTAAGCTTTGTCCAATGTGTACTTAAAAAGAGAGGTATGACTGTTGTAATGAAAGGACAAAATGAATTAATCCCAACTAGAACAGCAATTGGTTAGCAAATATGCATAGACTACAGAAAGTTGAATAATGCTACACGTAAAGATCACTTCCCCCTTCCCTTTTTTAATCAAATGCTTGACAGGTTAGCCTGACAGGAATACTATTGTTTCCTCGATGGCTACTCGGAGTATAATCAAATTGCTATTGCCCCGGAGAATCAAGAGAACACCACTTTTACATGCTTGCATGGCACTTGTGCATTTAAGAGAATACCCAGTCGCGTTATGCAATGCACCTCGGACTTTTCAAAGGTGTATGATGGCAATTTTCACCGATATTGTGGAACGATTTATTGAGGTCTCTATCGATGATTTTTCTATGTTTGGTCCCTTTTTTTTATGAATGTTTAACCAATCTTGTTAAAGTGTTTGCTAGGTGTGAGGAGACTAATCTTGTGTTGAACTGGGAGAAGTGTCATTTTATGGTGCGAAGGCATAGTGTTGGGGCACAAGGTGTCCAAAGACGGGTTGGAAGTTGACAAGGCTAAGGTGGAAGCAATTGAAAAGTTGCCACCACCAATTTCCATGAAAGGAGTCCGAAATTTTCTAGGACATGCAGGTTTCTATCGTCGATTCATTAAGGATTTCTCAAAAATTTCATCCCCATTGTGCAAGTTGTTAGAAAAGGATGTGTCTCTCAAGTTCGACGATGCTTGTCTGAAGGCATTCGAGGAGCTGAAACAGAAGTTAGTGAGTGCACCAATTATAGTGGCTCCGGACTGGAATGAGTCATTTGAGCTAATGTGTGATGCCAACGGTGGTGCAATTGGAATCGTGTTGGGCCAAATGAGGAACGAAGTGTTTCACTCCATTTACTACGCAAGCAAAACTCTTACTTCTGCACAAATCAATTATACTGTGACCGAAAAGGAGTTGCTTGTTGTAGTTTAGGCATTTGATAAATTTCGAGCTTACTTGGTTGGCACCAAAGTCATCGTCTACACATACTATTTAGCAATCGTGTATTTATTTGGAGAAAAAAAAAGATGCTAAACCGAGGCTAATTTGTTGGTTTTACTCCTGCATGAAATTGACTTGGAGATCTGAGACCGTAAAGGAATAGAGAATCAAGTGGTTGATCCAATGTCTAGGTCGGAAACTCAGAATCATGTGACTGAGGGAGGTGTGATCAATGAGACCTTTCCTGATGAGCAATTGTTGCAGTCCCAAACAAGTTCGGTTCGGCTATTTGAATCCTCACTGACCATGTTACTCCATTTAAATCATCTCATGCCAATAATAAGCACATACAAATATTAAGTACTAGAAGTTATGTATATTTTCTAATCGTAAATATCTCGGAAAAGGTTAAAGCACTCCTAGAAAGCATAAGACCATAAAAGTGCAAAGTCTAAAACATATTCTCACCAATATCTATAGCTAGGTGAGACCATCAAACCCGAAAATATCTATCAACCATTACTAACAAACCAATACTTTTACACAGCAACCATCCTGCAATCCCACACTAGCTAGAATTATACAATATGAATCCTCAATACCCATTTCCCTCCATTTGAACCCCTTTCATTCCAATACTCAAAAGCAACTTTCGACGAAACTCAAAAACAAAAATAAAAACAGACAAATATCAACACTATTATAATAACAACAACAACAATTAAATATTAGTCTAAAACAAGTTTGGGTCAGCTATATGAATCCTCACTGACCATGTTACTCTATTTAAATCATCTTAATTCATCAAAATAACAATGAACCAGATAAAAATGTGCAAACTTAATCCAATAACAAATACAAGAATAGGGAGTTTGAATGTGGGGTGTTGGGGGGGGGGTGTGTTGGTACCTAAGACGCGTGCCGGAGGAAAAGGGATTCATGATTGGTGAAATTGCAGAGAAATATATGGATCAGATCCAGAAAGTGTATAGATTCTTTTAACTGTTTTGTTTTCTCTCCAACTTGATCAACCCCGCAATAATAAATGGAGTTTTTAGGCTCCCGCCATTACAGCTCAATAAAATTGAAAAAAATTCAGTGAGATGAAAGGAAAATTTTTGGATTGGAGATGAAAATTGAAGGATCTGAGAAGGAATTCAGTGGGGTTCTTGGCAGAGGTTTGGATCTGGAAATGGAAAAATAAGAACAAGAACGGGAGGGAGGGAGACAGAAAGAACGTATTACAGAGTGGAAATACAT